ACTAAATTAGACTAATGCCTTTGTTTTTCTGCTTGTATAGGTACAGTAAAAGTACATTTCAAAGGCAAAACATCATATTTGACTTCTAAAAACACACAAGAGTGCACACACTGAAATGTCTCACCTGCTTTACTGACCTTTGATTTTATGAGTCTTATAGATTAAGGTTTCACTACAAGTATCACAGACAATTCACATTTTAGATAAATCCTGTCAGACACACATGCACACCTTACAATAATTCCATATACCAAATATAGTTGATCTATTGCTTATGTAGTACTTGAAAAAAAGACTAAAACACAAACAAGAGGCTCTCAAGAACCTGAATCGCTCACCTGTTTTTTTTTGCTTAAAATCTTTCCACAATGATAATTTTGCTTTTCAATATATATTAATGAGTGTAGTAAAAATTCCATTAAAATGTTCTTTGTATCTGTCATATCTTCAAAAGCGAAAAAAATGCATTTTACCCCCTATGTACCATTTTAGTCATATGTTTCTTGACGTACAAGGAAATAAAATAAAAAATTTATACTAGATATTCTGAAACTCATTCAGCCTATGTTTTGCTGAAATTTATGAAAATTGTTAAAAATTGATTATAAAGGGCAATAACTCCTTAAGGGGTCAATTGACCATTTTGGTCATGTTGACTTATTTGTAGAACTTACTTTGCTGAACATTATTGCTGTTTACAGTTTATCTCTATCTATAATAATATTCAAGATAATAACCAAATATGGCAAAATTTCCTTAAAATTACTAATTCAGGGGCAGCAACCTAACAACGGGTAGTCCAATTCATCTGAAAATTTCAGGGCAGATAGACCTTGACCTGATAAACATTTTTACCCAATGCCAGATTTGCTCTCAATGCTTTGGTTTCATAGATATAAGCCAAAATCTACATTTTACCCCTATGTTCTGTTTTTAGCCATGGCGGCCATCTTGGTTGGTTGGCCTGGTCACCGGACACATTTTTTAAACTAGATACCCTAATGATGATTGTGGCCAAGTTTGGTTAAATTTGGCCCAGTAGTTTCAGAGGAGAAGATTTTTGTAAAAGTTTACGGACGACGGACGCCAAGTGATGAGAAAAGCTCACTTGGCCCTTTGGGCCAGGTGAGCTAATAACTGCATTTTACCCCTATGTTCAATTTTACCCATGGCGGTGGCGGCCATGTTTTTTGACGAAACAGAAAATAAAACATGGACTTTATTATAGATACCCTCAGAATCATTCAGCTTAAGTTTGGTTGGAATTGGTTTAATAGTTTCAGAGGAGAAGATTTTTTAAAGTAAGATAACATGATAAACAAATTGTGAAAAATTTTCCTCAAAATGCAATAACTCCTTAAGGGGTCAATTGACAATTTTGGTCATATCAACTTATTTGTAGATCTTACTTTGCTGAACATTTTTGCTGTTAAGTTTATCTTTATCATTAATAATATTCAAAATAATAACCAAAAACTGCAAAATTTCCTTAAAATTACCAATTTAGTGGCAGCAACCCAACAATGGGTTATCAGATTCATCTCAAAATTTCGAGGCTGATAGAACTTGACCTAATGAACACTTTTACCCCATGTCAGATTTGCTCTAAATGCTTTGGTTTTTGAGATAGAAGCCAAAAACTGCATTTTACCCCTATGTTCTATTTTTAGCCATGGCGGCCATGTTTTTAGACGAAACAAAAAATAAAACACAAACTTTATTCTAGATACCCTAAGGATCATTCAGCTAAAGTTTGGTAGGAATTGGTTCAATAGTTTCAAAGGAGAAGATGTTTGAAATATTTTACACCAGACGGACGACGACGACAACGGACGACGACAACAGACGCCAAGTGATGGCAAAAGCTCACAGTTCCTTTGGAACAGTGAGCTAAAAACTTAACATTGACCAGTGAATCATGAAAATTAGATCAAGGTCAGATGAAACCTGCCGGACTGACATGTACCCCTTACAATCATTACATACACAACCTATAATTGACATAATGCTTCCAGTATTTTAGAAATGGATCAGATCACATAACTTTAACATAAAATGAGGTCAAGGTCAGAAGAACCCTGTCTGACTGAAATGTAGACATTGCAAGGAACCCATATACCAAATAAAGTTATCCTATTACTCATAGTATGTAAGAAATTCACATGACAAACATTGTTTTTCTTTAAGCAGATGCTGAACCTTGAAAATGAGACTGAGGACAATGGACATTTGACAGAGGGAAATTTCGTAACATATGGTATCTGCAGCATCTAGGTCTTCTAACTTTTGAAATATAAAGCTTTATACAGACAAAAACTGAAATGAAAGGTGTTTTAAGAAAAATGATCCTGTAACATGATAAAGCCATGTATCATAATTTAAAACCATTACATATTGCATAGAGTGTATCTAAGAACCACAGAAACAGCATACACGCTGCATGTTTGAATATTGGAAAAATACATTCAGACTAGATCTTGGAACTAGACATAACATACTGAGAATATCTAAGAATCACTGACAATACATACATGTATACATGTAGACCCTTTCTAAGAAACCCACATAATTCACACAGATTGTACCCTGATCTAGTTTTACTTAGTTAAAATAGTAGTCATCATTTAATAAAAAATCATTTCAAACATGCTTAGCTACAATACTAAGTCCAATGCAGGCTTTATATTGCATTCCTTCTGTAAACAGGAAATGTGAATTTGAATATGACAGTACAACCCTCTTGAAGCAATTTTCTCTCTTGTTTTCTATCTTTTGCAGTTTTATTTTCTATATCATGCAAGTTATATTTAAACGCCATATCTATTATTGGAACAGCTTTCCTTTTAATATACATATTGGATAAAAAATCAATCAAAAAATGTTTAATTAGTTTGGTTCTTTATTATAAAACTTTTAATTTTTCTAAATTTGTATAATAGGTAAATGAATACATTACCATAAATACCTAAATAAAGTTTACACAACATTTAAAGAAAATTATCTATACATTAGTGACATGCATAAAGCACAAATTATATTTATCATGCATAATATTATGGTATAAAACAAAATAGACAAAAAAGTAACCAATTAAAAAATATAGAGCAAGAGGTCACTATGTGGTTTTGAGAGATTTTTTTTTTAATAGGAAGACTAATTCAATTGACATTTTAATCTTTTATAATTTATAGACCAAACACATTATTAACAAATTTACCATTTTCAAAAATTAATAATGCACAAGCAATTTATCTTAGAAAGAGACAATATTTAATGCATTTCCTTTTATACATTTAAATAATTGTAAATTAATAAATTGTGATTTTTTGACTTTCTGTCTTGTAACTCTTAGTCCTTTGACTTCTTTCTGTTTTTCAACACATAATGTCAACAATCAACGAGCATAAAATGTGAATAGTCAATTCCAGTTTAAATATTCATCATAATTTAAAGTAAAATTATTTGTAATAATGAAGTATTTAAAGTAAAATTATTTGCAATAATGAAGTATTAGCATATCATAATCATTATGTATGTTTTTCTGTATTTACAACATTTAAAAATCACATTGTGAGGTATATTAAACTAGATGATAAATGCATCCTCTATACAATGAAGAAAATCCCCAATGAAAAATGAGATTTAGAACTAACCTGAATTATACAAAAAGAATCACTGGTGTGACACTTTCCAAAGTTTTTTTGTATGGAGTCTTCATAATTTTTTTTTTAGAAATTTGTATTTAATGTATGCCAAGATTCTCTTATCTTTATTTAGAGAGGCATCCATAGTGGACAGTCCTTATGGTATATATATTTTTTTCAAAACTAAACATAATTGGGGCGGGGGGGATTTATACTACACATATCAAGAAGAAAAAAAACCAGTTCATACCTACAAAATATTAGGTATTCAAGAATGACATCTTAATATTAGGAAATAAAAAAATTAAAGAAAGTAGTTGTCAATGGTACTCAAGTAGGAAAAGGTATAAAAAAACATCTAACACATTTCTAATAAACTGCTTCGCTGAGCGCAGCTGGATACGCCCGCAGAGGTCCAACCCTGAACAGCTGGGGCAAAAATAGACACAATATTCAAGCTTGATACAGGTCTGAATTTGGATTGTAATTAAATATTTGACATATTATAGGTTTCTGAATAAATGTAGTCAAAGAACTTGAAATTGGTTATATGAATTAAATTTATATTCAATTAAAGATTTCTTGCTGTTGTGCAATACACTGTGCTGTTGAGCAATACTTAGTAAATCTTTTGTCAGACTATAAACAAACAATAACTTCTCAATGTTATATCAGAAATTTATAAAAACCTAAAGGGAGGTTATCTTAATAGATATAAATCAGTCATCAAAGTTTAATGAAAACTGCTATAAGCAGTTTAAGGATATTGTCCAAAAACTTGAAAATCACCCCTTTTTTATGAATAAAATCTTATAACTTGGAAACGTAAAATCTTAAATTTATAATAATCAAAAGGGAGCTTACAACAATAGATATAAACAATTTACCAAAGATTCATAAAAAATGCTGAAAGCATTTTTGAGTTATTGTCAGAAAACTGGAAAATCCCCCTTTTTGTAATGAATAAAACCCCATAAATCAGAAACGTCTAGTCTAAAATTTATAAAAATCAAAAGGGAGCTCATGTCGATAGAAATAAACAATTCACCAAAGTTTCTTGCAAATTGGTGAAATTGTTTTTGAGTTATTGTCCAAAAACTGGAAAATTCCCCCTTTTTTAATGAATAAAACCCACAAAACTCGGAAACGGTAAATCCAAAATTTATAAAAAATGAAAGGGAGCTCACGTGAATAGATATAAACAATTCACCAAAGTTTCATGCATATTGGTTAAGGCATTTTTGAGTTAATGTCCGACATGTTGACTACGGACGGACGGACGGACAGACGGTCAATGGTATACCATAATACGTCCCGTAAACGGGCATATGAAAAGGAGAAATTATAAAACAGATATATCAGAACAATACATTTCCTGAATGTTACATTACTCTATCATAGTGGTAAAATATAAAACAAAAACTCAAAACTAAGTGCAATAAAACAAGTCTTCTCTGTTCTTTAAAATTGTTCTTGCCCTTCACTCTTTGACACTTGTATGGCAAGCACTAAGATTAGTCTTGATAAACCTAAAATGAAATGGCTTTCATGTAAAATTCACAAAATCTGGTTCAATTATAGAAATAAACATTCATTCTAAATGAAAAAAAATAAGTTTAAACTGTTTTGATCACATTTCCACAAGATGACCTGGCTTTTCTTTTGATATATTAAACTCAATTTGGAATGGTGTCTTCGTTTCTGATCTTCCAGTTTGGACATGTTGCAAAAAATACCTTTTTTGGTTTAAAAATATTTTATCAAGTATAATTCATTATACGACTGGAACATCTTTAGCTTGAAAGGTAGATCAAACTATCAAAAAATTAAGTGTGATTAAGCGTATCTAAATTTTTTAGAAAAAAAAAACTATTAAAATCAAGGGCAGATAATTACATTGATTTGATAGGACAATTTGTTTTGTTTTTATGGGCGGATAGACAGGCAGGGTGATACCTATTATTTAATCACCTCAAAAACTTTGTGGGGTGTATAATAAGATGGATAAAGTACAAGATTATATCATGGCAGGAGGTTTTAAACAATAATCTTCAATAGAATTAGCATACAGTACAGTGTAACAATTATATCAGAATTATTTATTTTTTTTATTTTGGATCTGGAAAATTAAAACTGTACCAGTAAGGTCTCTTCTTATTTTGAAATTAAAGGGAAAAAAAACTAAAAAAAAAAATAATTTGAGAAGACAGTAAAAGTTGATTTTTTGTTCAGGTCTTTAAATAATTCAATTTCTGAATTGATCAAATGTTTAATTAATCCCATGGAAACTGTTTGTAGCAGCATGTCCAGTCTGCCTTACTTCACCAGAGTACTAACCAGATTTTCCATTGGTCAATAAAACATAAAATTTCCATGAAAATTATGGTAAAGATGAATTTAAACATTATCCAATACGCCTGAATTATTAAATGGGTTTTAATGAAGTTGTTAATAGATATAAGAAGTTGTGGTATGAGTGCCAATGAGTTAAGTTTATATGTCTCAAATTAAAAGTATTTTTTTCAGATCAAATAATCCTAAATAAATTTCAGTCTCAAACATAGCATTTTTTTGGGGTGATTGATACCATTGTAGGTCCTGGATTTCTTTCAACATCACCAAATAACACCTGCTCGCTAAAACCTTCACTGTTGTTAAGGCAGATGTTCTTTTGGTTAAAATACTACTCTCAACTTCATTACACTCTGAAACAATATACACATAGATATATATTTATATTATTAGATACAGAACAGAGATAAAGAGTTTTCAGTTGCATTATATACACACTCTTTAACTTGATTGACTTAGTCAGATAAATGAAAAACGGTAAAAATCTTGAAAAAAATACAATTTCAACAACTAAAGATTGCTTAAACTTGTTAAAAGTACATTAATAGTGAATGATTAACTGCAATAATTTATATAATATAAAAAGAACTTTTTACAAACACAAATCACCATGTTTAAGATTTTTTTATATATTTATACATAAACTATATTCAAAAGTAAGACTTTTAAAGAGGCAGTATATGCAGAAATAGCATTTTTCTTGAAAGAAATCAAACCTATCAACATATTTGTTTGTGCAAATGTAAATACATGTAATGCCTCTTTAAACTTAATTTAAAATTCAAGTCTGTTGTCAGATTGAAAATGGTGACAATAATGTATACAAAAATATTGTTATTTACTGTATCCAATTAAAAAAAAATATCATCTATTATACACTACCAAATGCTCTTTGTGTATCATTCTCATCACAGAAACTCCCCTGTTCCTCAACAGCATTTTCTTTATTTGGTATCTAATAAAAAGAAAAAGCAAATTATATTGAAATTGACCACTCACACTACATATATGATGTATTTAAAAATAAATGGGGAATGTGTCCATGGGACACAGATGGACACAGATGATGCCCCCGCTTGCACATCATATAAAGTTATAAAGGGACATAACTGAAGAACGGTAAAAGTGAACCATTTGGTTGAGGCAAACTAAAGTTAGAGAACAGAAGCCAATTAACTTTGGGACGTACCAACGGACAAGGGTAAAACTTAATGACCCCTCCACTACGGCGGGCATAAAAAAAGAATTAAATTCTAGTGTATATAAATCTTCCCCAAGTTCAAATATAAATAACACCATACAGCAGAATTAAATCCATATTAATTAAAGATGTTTGCTAGTCAGGTTTTTAAATTATTGTCAGATTTTGGAATTCCTCTAGTTCTGTCCATTTGAAAACCAAAATTTATTTTTGCCACTTCACTCATTTTTCTTTTCATAAATCTTTATTATGCCGGAGAGAAGCCATTTGTAAAAATCTTATCAAATTCTTGTAATTTTAGCATCCTAGCATTTTGTAATAGTGTTTGTGAAGTAAGATTTGTCAATGATAAAGATATCATAATTCAAGAGAGAATTTTTCCCTGAAAATTTTCAATAGCTTATATCTCAAAAACAAGCATAAACAACACAGTCCTTTAAGTATTTTAGCTCTTTTAGTTGTGAGTGAGTGAGTGAGTGAGTGAGTTTATTAATCTCCTATCAATATTTACCACTGTTCTGAAAAGCTTGATATTTTGAAACTGAGTAGAAAACATCCTTTAAGTAATTTACCATATTGTCAAATGGTGTGATGTATTCTGAATGTATATAACTAACCTGAAATGACGAATCTCTGTCTGTCTGAATTCTGCCTACAAAATAAATGAAGGCATAAGAACATAAATTCTTATTTATTTTTTGCTTATAACAATCATATAATAGTGCACATTAAAGACCCATTGGTGGCCTTGGGCTGTTTTCTACTCTTTGGTTGAGTTGTTGTCTCTTTGACACATTACCCGTTTCCATTCTTTATTCTATGTTGATCATTTTATAAATGTGTCAAGCCTTAGAAAATTAAATCTATTTTCTCATGTTTATAGCATGTTGTCTATTTCTCACATTAAGAGATATTTCTTGAATTACACTGCAAGGAGTGAATAAAAAATTGCATGAATATGATTGACTGGGAAATGATGGTGTAACATTCCAATTGGTTATATGATAAAAAGTACATGTATCCATAGTTACCTATTCAATTGTGTAATACACGCTTTCTTTTTTTCAAATGTCATGTACACACTTTTTAAATATTTACAAGCATTTTCTTACGTGATAGTTATTGGTTATGAGTTGTTTTTCGGTTCAACGTCCTCGAGTCCTTGAGTTCTTTGAATCGCTAATCTATCAAATGTTTCATTTTTGTTTTGGGAAGATGCCGAGTGTTTGAATGAAGGCTGTAGTTTCATGTAATATATGACATTATCAATCAAACCTTTTTTTATTTTTTTAGTATGGCCAAAATAACATGATCTATCAAAAAGTCTTCTTTTAAGCACATCACTGGACAAACAGGACAATTAAAGGTGCTCTGCAACAATAATCACCATGAATTTAATTAAATGATCAACTATTGCATATATCCCATATCTCTGAACACAAAAAAGTTTCCTACTACGATGGCTTCAGTGAAAGTGGAAATATTAACACACATCTCTGAATACAAAAAAGTTTCATACTACGATGGCTTAATTCGGTGAAAGTGGAAATATATACCAAGAATAGCATTAAACAAGAACTCTGAACTAAAAAAATAACATACTTTAATATGTAATGCTTTGCATTATGAATTGGGCAGAAATGTTTAAAATAAATAAAATGTGTACCTTTTCTTCTTTCTTCATCACACACATTTTCTTCGTAGGCTGCATTGATATGGGTTCAAGCAGTTGCTTTTTTATATGAGTCTATATTAAGTTAAAACAATCTATTACTATAAATCAGATTTTTCAGCATTAAGACAATAGTTTATGAGCAAACTATGATAATTGATGCTGAAGAACATTTTAATATTATCAAACCTGAAGTTAATATTACATTATAGTTAAATAAATGCATTCAAGATACATTGTAATGTAGTCCAAATATATTCTTTATATGATTTTGTCTTTTGGTTTTGAAGTAACACTATTAATGGATGGAAATGCAGAGATCTGATATATTTATGCAGTTCAATATATATATTTATATATATCAGCACAAGTCATTAAATATATGTTAGACTCAGATTGACGTCCGGTCTCTAATCGACGTCCAAATTTGACGTCACGTTCTAAAATCAGTGTCCAATATTTTAACCCTCTAATTGACGTCCAATGTGACGTTATGAATCACAAAAACGACGTCTGATCGATGAGAGTCTCCTCTCATCGCAATGTCTATAAATTTCATTGAATCATTTATTTTCAAATTGATCTTTGTTTATATTATCTGTATCTTTTTGTCTTTTTGTGAAAATAAATGAAAACAACACGTTATAAATTTAATGCGTACGAAGCACTTTTCTTGATTTACCTTCATCAAAACTAGTAGCTTACCGAAACAATTACTGTTTTCTTTTATTGGTATCAAAACTAGAAGCTCTCAAGAGCCTGTTTCGCTCACCTGATTCTACTTTGGTTTTGGAAATCATGTTAAAATAGATTAAAATCATAACAGATACCCTAATAATGAGTGAGGCCAAATTTGGTTTAATATTGGCCCTGTAATTTAATAAAAAATCCTGGTGGCCATCTTGAACAGTAAATCAGCAACAAAGTAGCAACACTTCATCAGCACCTCATAAGAAACATTTATGCCATGTTTGGTTTCATTCCATTCAGTGCACCTCTAGAAGAAGCATTTGTATGTATTTCCAATAGGGTCTTATGTCAAAGGAAGTCCCCCCGCTGGCGGCCATCGTGGATGAAGGATCAACTTCAAAGTAACAACACTTAGTCGGCACCTCATAAGGAACATTCATGCCATGTTTGGTTTCAATCCATTCAGTGGTTCTCTAAAAGAAGACATTTGTATGTATTGTCCATAGGGTCCTTTGTTAAACACTGTTCCCAGCTGGTGGCCATCTTGGATCATGGATCGGCTTCAAAGTAACAACACTTGGTCAGCACTTCATAAGGAACATTCATGCCATGTTTGGTTTCATTCCATTCAGTGGTTCTCTAAAAGAAGTGGTTCTTTAAAAGAAGACATTTGTATGTATTTCCCATAGGGTCCAATGTTAAACTAAGTCCCCCGCTGGCGGCCATCTTGGATGATGGATCAACACTTGGTCAGCACCTCATAAGGAACATTCAAGCCATGTTTGGTTTCATTCCATTCAGTGGTTCTCTAAAAGAAGACATTTGTAAATATTTCCCATAGGGTCCTATGTTAAACTAAGTCCCCAGCAGGTGGCCATCTTGGATTATGGATCGGCTTCAAAGTAGCAACACTTGGTCAGCACATCATAAGGAACATTCATGCCATGTTTGGTTTCATTCCATTCAGTGGTTCTCTAAAAGAAGACATTTGTATGTATTTCCCATAGGGTCCTATGTTAAACTAAGTCCCCTGCTGCGGCCATCTTGGATGATGGATCGGCTTCAAAGTAACAACACTTGGTCAGCACCTCATAAGAAACATTCATACCATGTTTGGTTTCATTCCATTCTGTGGTTCTCTAGAAGAAGTTCAAAATGAAAAAAGTTAACGACGACGACAGACGCCAAGTGATGAGAAAAGCTCACTTGGTCCTTCGGGCTAGGTGAGCTAATAAAAGGACAAATTTAACATCAGAAAATGACAATAAGACGATCACAGACATCATTATTACTTTACATGTACATGCATAATAGTATTTTGGTGAAAGACCTTCATATTCTTGACCTACGTTGTCGTTTTCTTTTATTGTTCATATAAACAAATACATGTGGGTATACATTGTACGACAATGAGACAACAACCCAAAGACAAAGATAATCAAAAGATATCTAGAGGGCAGTACATCTATACAGACTCAAACAATAGAAAGAATAAAAACGTACGGCAAATTGTTGAAAAGTATTATACTTTGGTTATATTTTTCAACAACCGTTTTGAGTTATAGGTTCAACCCACCTTTGATAAAGATGAGATTTCACTGCGACATGTCCATAAAACGGACGTCAATTAGAGAAGCCAAAAAATTGACGTGGATTTGAGAACAACAAAAAAGACGTCGATTAGAGGGACATAAAATTGGTCGTCGATTTGGAATGTTATTTTATTGTGACGTCAGATTTGGACGTCGATTTGAGGAACGGACATCAATTAGAGACTGGACGTCGATCTGAGTCTTACATATATACAACAATACCTGATAAAAACTATGTTCCAGTAAAGCTTTGTTTGGTAGGACTACAGCCACATCCTCTGTGACCCCAAATACTAGATCACTTGTCTTTACCCTGTATCTATTAAAAATGCACTATATTAAATATGAAATGAAAGTAACTAAAAAATTAAACAGTCTTAAACTAAAAGAAAAGGGATTTCAGTAGTTGTACAATCATTAAGTAATATTGTTGGTAGGTTTTAATTTTTTTCAGCTCATGTGTATTAGTGAGTCCACTTCAAAATTATATCAATGGCCATTCATTATCTCTTTTTAGTTTTTTTTGTATCAGTGCTGTATCAAATAGACACAATTCATAATCTCTCCATGCATTATAGTGACCAAAGCATAATACCGTGCAGTTACTTTTGTGCATGATGATTAGGTCAATTGCCTTGTTTCTAACGATCTTATTATTCTTTAAATACGGTTTTACTAAAAAAAGCTATAAAACCAGGTTAAATCCATAATTTCCTTCATAAAAAATGCCTGTACCAAGTCAGGAATATGACAGTTGTTTTCTGATTCGCTTCATGTATTTGAGCTTTTGATTTTGCCATTTGATAACAGACTTTACATTTTGATTTTTCCTCGGAGTTCAGTATTTTTGTTACTTTACTTTTTACATGTAACTTGCATATCTATCTTATCTAAATATCATTTAATTCCTCTTGAAAGAAGATGTATCATGTGTAATAGGGCCATGTTTCTAGATGTTCAAAACAATAACACCATGCATTCTTGTAAGAGATTTACCAGGAAAAAGTACAAACGGGTTCAGAAATACACATTTTAAGGTTTAATGGCAAAATAATTATCATTCTTATGTAGGTATCTTAAAATAAATATGTAGTTCCAACTCAAACACCTTTGTATTTTTTTTCTGCAGAAGCCCTTTGTAAAATTGTTAACAAATAAAATAATGCATAGTGGAGCAAAACAAAAGATAAACAAATAAAGAGTAATGCAACAATGACCAACCCTGTTTCATAAGTGCCACTTCTTCATCTGTGAGACTACATTAAGAATTAAGAATTTTAAGTTTTATTTTTTGGGGATTAATTATTTAACATTTGATATTTATGAATAAAAAATACAGCATTTATTTTCCATCATAGATTTTATAAACACTTTATTTTGGAAAATTTATATAACATTTATCATGCATGTACCTGGTATAAATCGAAAAGAAAATTTTGATTTCATTCATGTCAATGTTGGATTTATCAGCCAAATAAAAAAAAACATTAAATGTACAAAATACTATCTGATGTTCTGCTATGTTCTCCGGCCATCATTTATGGTATAATATTATTAATGACTATATATATATATATATATATATACTATTATAAATGGCCATTTGTAGTCATACTATTCAAAATAATATGCTAACTGTTTTTTCTTTTTTTCTACCAATCTCAACTGAAGACACACTCCTCCTTTTGAATGTAGGGACTCCAATTGATTTCTTCATTTCCATACACTGTTATCAAAATTAAAAAAAAAATAACTTTATTAACCAATAACAAAAAATATGATATTTTTTAAAATATTAGCTTTTATTTTTGTGATATGTACACTTCACATAAAAACTGCATTTACAAATATAAAATGTGTGTAACCTGAATAAACTAGCACTTTGAGTCAACTCACACAAGGAAATCCCCCATCCAGCACTGCTATTTTTATATTTATTTTAAATCTTTATTGCAATTAAGTTAAAAGTCGAGTTGCTTGAAAACGGGGAAAACTTTCTTAATTTTTTGGTGTACCTCTTTAACATTTTTGAATGATGATTCCTTATAGAATTGTATAACAGTATTGTTGATTCTTTATGTTACAAAAATGTAATCTCTGCACAAAGTATGGTTATTTTCTGAAGAAACAGATAGCCTTTTGAAATACTGTGGATTCATTATTATTCGTTGGATACCAATTTCCGTGGATTTCGTGGGTACAGGTAAACCACGAAATTAAATGTTCATCGAATAACATATTTTCAATAAGGGTTTATGAAGACTTTTGCAAAACCACGAAATCAAATATCCACGAAAATGCAAGTTTTTCCGCAATCCACGAAAATTGGTACCCACGAAAATAAGTGAATCCACAGTACAGCAGATGGCTTGTAGTTTAATTATTATTAAATTTCACAGCCAGCACCGTCATATTAAACGTAAAGGGAGATAGTAACTAAACTATAGTACATATATGTAAAAGACCCTTTCTGCAAATTTTGTTAAGAATGGGCTCTTTGGGGCAGCTGTAGAGGCAATATTTGTTCGGGCAATTTCCAAGTATATTTCATTTGTCTACATGATTTATTTTCTTACGCTTGATTTGTTCAGTACAGTATACATTTTGTCTTGTATCTACAGTGTATCCTGTTTTATTTTAGAAAATGAACAATGTGTCACTCTCATAAAAGAATTTTAAGCGTGCATGACTTTCCAACATATAGACTATTATAAATAAGTATCGCATAACTTTTTCAAATCCTGCAATCAAAATACCGGGACCCTTTCTCATGCAGTGTATAACTTAAGTTCGAGTACATCTACATGTATGCTGTTCATTAAATGTAAAGTAAATCTGAAAATTCTGTTTAAAAAATCAGACGACACGACCGTTTAAATATGTGACTGTTTATATATATATAATTCTTAAGAAATAGGAGAAATATAATATTTTTGTTTATGTATCTCCCAAAACTTTGTTTGTAGGGTGTATAAAAACAAAAAGTGACAGACATTCCTCCGGCATATTTTCCATTCATTCTTATAATATTAGACATTATTTTCATACCTTAATATCAAACGTGGTTTTAGTTTGGTCTGACCTGTTGCATGCACAGGAAGTCTCACCACTTCAGCATAGGTCATCTTTGATGAACTAGATGCTGTATGAGATGGTGAAGTTGCAACCCCAGTTATGCACAGTGTTCTAATGGGGGCTTCCATCAATTCCATTGGTACAACTTGCTTCAGGTTGGAATTCCCTAGAATTAAAATGCTTCTCAACCTTTTCTGAAGTTTGTAAATCATATCTAAATAAATAAAATCGGTATACAACAGTTTGTCGGATCCACCACAGATTTGGCAATTTTTTCCATTTAATAATAAAGGAGCATAAATACATGTAACTCAAGAACGGTTACAGTGACGGGTGTCAAATTCAAACTTGATCTGTGTTTTGTGGTAATAAGTAGTGTATAAGTTTTATAACATTTGTTGGGACAAACTAAAGTTAGAGACAAGAAAAGAAAGATTCAGCAATTTTTGCGTTAATAAAGGGGCATAACTCACGAACGGTCAAAGTGATGCCACTCAAATTCGAATAAATTGATCTGTGTTCTGTGAAAAAAATAATTGAGTGCAAATAAAGTAAGAAAATGGAAACCAATTTCTGTACAGACAGACATATGTATGGATGGACATCATGACAACAGTAAAAGTTAATGCCCCTTCAACTAGCAGTTGGGCATAACAAAAAAGTTATAATTATATTATTCATTCTGTCTAAGGATTCAGTTAATTTTCCAGATATTTTTTTTAACTTCAATCTATTTATATAGTTTGATTGGTGATTCATTCAGTGGTAAAATAATAAAAAAATCACACCAGATACATCATCTCATACAGGAATAGATAATTGTCACTAAATACTTGTGGCAAACTATTTTTTTTAGACCAGATACATTATCCAATACGAAAATAGATTGTCACTAAATACTTAGCTCTGTAGAGAACAGATATAACGTAACAGTACCCAAATTGCACTGAGTACACAAATTGCACATATTCAACAAAAACAGCTGTGGAAATCTTACAAGTTTTCTTTAAGAATAAACACTTAGTATTTTTATGATTTGACATTACACATGTCTTTTAACATAGCTGAATATATTTAAATATACACAAAACGTTCACAGTAAATATCAACAGATGAAGCTTTTACTGGAAAAAGTAAATCTACGGAATCGTCGTCATGCGAAGTTCTCAAAAAGTCATCATTTCTTATTAAATGGATAGTAAGCATGGACTAATGTCAAATTGTTCTAAAAATTTGAAGAAATGGAACAAAACATCTAGCTGTTATTCAATTCTTAAGGATGTGAGTTTAAGAATGGCCGGCTGGCCGATGCAATTTGGGTACTCCTCGTAATGGAATCCTGGATCGTTTGGAGGTCGGTTCATACTCATTTTTCAATGATTCAATATGGATTCAAAATTAAATAGGTGTAACTATATAGTAAACAAGTATACATCTACAAAATAAACACAGATTGGAAACTTTTGTCTGCATCATAAAAAAACGTAGGTGAAAAAACTGTCAAAATAGGTGCAATTTGGGTACCGTCATGTTAGTTCTTAAATGTCTTCTCTAATGAAGAATTTGTGCGTTAGCAGGTCCATGTATCTGTATCTTTATATTTTCTGCCAATCTGTATCTTGTTATATAGCTTCTGCCAATGTAGGCACACCTCTTCCGAGTAGTGTATTTAACAACATGAATAAAAATATCTTCCACCAATATCACTGTACATTATTTACATTCTTGACGATAAAATTGGGCTTAATGTCAATTTAGACTGCATCAACACTTTAAAATCTAAAATATCTATCTAAAGATATCACTGTTTAAGAGTAGACATCAATTAATCACTTAAGGGTTTATATAAAGTTATTATCTACTTCTACTTCAATATAGGCACACCTTCAGTATGATGCCATTTGATGGTGTTTTCAGTTTGGCAAGCCGCAATCCCGGTAAAGGTTTTTTTTTCTACACCGAACAAATTTTATTTGTTAATTCTAGAATTTGATTGCACTTTTATGTAAATATGACAATCTTGCAATAGGTACTAATATTAGCTGCCTGTTTTTTTTATATAGCGTATTTCAAAAGAGAGAAAAAAAGAAACTTTGTTTTTGTTTACCTTTTCTACCTCACACGTAGAGAGCTAAAATAAAATGTAAAACGGAATCAAAATCGGAATTCTTCCGGAGTAATCTCGTTTAATCAATCAATTTTTTAAATAAAATCTTTTTACACGTTGGCGTTTATGTTGTTTTCTCACTTTTGCAAGCATTTTATACACCGTTCAAGTTAATGTCTTTAATGAAATTGAAGGATACGGCGTTGCAAACAGCACTGTATGTAAAACCGAGTACATCTGGAAAACTTGTGTCGACTCGTTTAACATTTTCTAAAAATGATTTCATTACCCTCAATATCATTACCAGCTGATTACTATGACCAATCTGAATGTCATGTGGATATTTCTGTTTTGTTTCTTCTTTCAATGCTGTCTGTGCCTGACTAGTTGACGTTACTTCCTGAGTTGTGACGCCGATATTTCTAAGTCACGGCTTATAATTTTTTACCCGAAAAGGATCAGACAGCAAAGCCCTTCTTTTACCTCTTCTCGTGTATTGTGTGACTGATTTGGAAATTTTTCCTTATGAAAATCATGTTGGTGCCATTCAACACGCAATTTTCTTTGAATCAAAACAACCCTTGTCATGATTTTTGATGTCCCCGAATTGAACATATTTTGTTATAACTACCAGCAGGTAACATCTATACTGTACAGTATAAAAGTATACTGTTGTTAGTGTTACTAGCAGACTAATTTTACTAATAGATTCCCACTAATAGTGGCTAATATTGCAGGATCGGGTGAACAATCACCTGAGCAACATGCTGCCTACTTGGGACAGGTGAATATAAAATGTAATATATTTAGTATCCCCTTGGACAGTTAATTTCGCTTGAACTCGACCTAATTTCACGGATCAGTGAAAAAGGTTATGCTTTCGTGGTTAAATGAAAATCTCCGATATTATAAGCAGTAGGTGCACCAAATAATTGCATAAACCAAAAGGGTCACATTCTTAAGTGCTATTGGACTGAAAATATATAATTATGCTTTGATTTCGTAGTATTTCAAATACTACGAAATCAAAGCATAATTAAATTTCATTTCTTCATTTTCCATTCCGTTTCGTTTCGTTATATTTTGTTTCGTTTCGTTACGATTTTGTTTCTCACTTTATGAGTACTTTATTTTAAAATGTGCCAAACTCCTATCTGCCTGGGTTGCTTGTAAAAACGGAAATTTAATTTCTTTTCTGTTAAATTTTAAGCAAACAGAAATGTCCAGCTTAAATATTTTTTGTCTTCAGCATAGATGCTTCATGATATGATCCTGTTATAAGCCCCCTATAAATCCCTCCCCCTTATCATAAATCCCATTTTTTCCCAATATAAACTACTTATTAGTATCATGTATATACCAATACACCATATTTTAACTCTAAATATGCATGTTTGCTATGGACGTGAAACTCGACTATAGAGCGAAACTTCACGCAAATATTAAGTTTTCCAGACTTATTCTCGTCATGGTTGAAGATTTAGATCTGATATTCATTATAGAGCACTCCGGCTTCCTCCAGCAATAAAAACTGGCCGCCACGAAATAGCCTAAATGCGGTGCTTAAAAGTGGCGTTTAAACACCAAAAATCAAAAAATCAAATCATAATAGAGCTTACCTATGTTAAAACAAGGACACATTATATCAAGTTCGTTGTTTCGGCGCAATGCATTTTTAACTGTTAGGAAACCTATGTATTGCCATTCAATACTCTCTGAATACTTGTCTTAGTTGTTTTGTTGCTGTGAAAAAAAAACCCATTATGAGTTATGCGGTACTTTTGGTATATATTGGATGCTTGCAAAGACTGCATAATTACATTCGTCAGACATGTTTCACCTGACCTCAACCTCATTCATTTCATGGATCAGTGATAATCGTTTTTGTGGTCAAGTCCGTATATCAAGTACTAAAAGCAATATATCACTTATATTTGGTGTGTGGAATGACTAAAAGGTGTACATGTTTGACTGGCAGGTTTGACTGAACTTGACCTCATGTTCATGGTTCGGTTGTCAATTTTTTGTGGTCTGATCTGGTTCTCAGAAAAAATAGCTGCTTTTAGTGTATGGAAAGAACGTAAGGTGTTGAGTCCGTCTGGCTGGTTACCATCTGACCTTGACTATTTTTTGTTTTTCATTTATTGGACACTAAGATTTTACTAATTGGGCTTTATTTGATACTCTAAGCCATAGGGCTACTATATTTGGTATAAATCATGGAATGGTTGTTAGGTAGACAAGTCTGTCTGGCAGCTTTTTATTGTGTTGTCCATTATCAAGCCTCATCCAACTTCTTGAAACAAGCTCTTTGATTACCTATATAAGAATGAGTTTTAGTGGATCGAATCAGTCAACCAAATGGTTTACCCTTGTTTCTATTTCAATGTTGACATTTCTTTCCTTTAAATAGACTAGTACACCTTGTTTATGCGTAAACGATATCTTTCAGACAATTACCATTTTCATTATTTCACCTTCATTTATGATCGAACAAACATATTCATATTTCAAATTTTTATATGGCGTAGCTTATGCCCCTTTTAAGCGTCAAACCCAAACCTAAATTGTATTGAATTTGGTATTTTTAGGTACATTCTCTGTGCTACGATTCTGGTTCATAATCATAAACTTAATATTTTTCTATAAATTTCTTTGATGAATTTTTCTTTGTATGTGTCGCTTTTAAACATTCATTTATAAATACTATTTGTCATTTCTATTTCATTGCATCTAGAAGTATGGATTCTAACGGTGAAGAAGAGGAATCCTCCAGATCTTTATATAATTTCCTTCAAGGTCGTGAAGTAGATGTGAATAAATTAAAGGAGCAGAAGGTATGGAACTGTATGTGGTGTGATTTAATTATTAAGTATAACGTTACAATTCTCCTGATTAATTAAAAGCAGAAACAATGCACTGAACTGTTTTTCGCAAAATTTAGCGTTGAAATTTGTTATAATATTTAACAACAAGTGGGCTTTTGTAACTTAAATTTGTAAATTAGAAGTTTTCTCTGTAAGGGTTTTCTCCACAAAAACCGTTTTGCGTGTAATTTGTACTTTCTCACAACAAAAAAAGAGAATGTGAAAAATAATTTTAACAGGCGCATTATTAGACTCCATATGAGAATGTTTTCCCATTCTCTATTTTACATGAAGGATATATAGGTGAAACAGTAAAACTGTTAATGATCCGCAATCATTCATGTTTAGCTCACCATGTTAGCTCAAATGGGCCAAGTGAGCTTTAGTGAAACCGTAAAACTGTTAATGATCCGCAATAATTCATATTCAGCTCACCTGACCCAAATGGACGAAGTGAGCTTTTCTCATCACTTGGCGTCCGTCGTCTTCGTCGTTCGTTAACTTTTACAAAAATCTTCTTCTCCTCTGAAACTACTTTGCCAATTTTAGTGAAACTTCGCCACAATCATCATTAAGGTTCCTCTGAAACTACTTAGCCAAATTTAGTCAAACTTCGCCACAATCATCATTAACGTATCTAGTTTTAAAAAAAATGTGTTCGATGACCCTGCCTGCCAACCAACATGACCAACATGGATAAAATTAAAACGTAGGAGTAAAATGCAGATATTTGTCTATGAAAGCTGGACATGGGGATAATAATCTGGCTATGGCGGCGGTGGTGTAAGGTAACTTCTTAAATGCTTTATATTTAAGAAGGTGGAAGACCTGGATGCTTCATACTTTGTATATAGATGCCTTATGTTACGAAGTTTCCGTCTATCACAAATCAATTGTCCATGACCTCATTTTCATGGTTCAATGACTACTTGAAAAAAGTAAAGATTTTTGTAATGTTAATTTCTCTCTTATTATGAGTAATAGTATAACTATATTTGATATGCGCGTACCTTGCCCGTCACACAGGTTTCACTTGACCTCGACCTCATTTCATGGATTGTAAGGTGTACGTGTTCAACTGGCAGGTGTCATCTGACCTTGACCTCATTTTCATGATTCAGTGGTTATAGTTCAGTTTTT